GATGTTGCTATAAGAAGTAAGAAAAACTCTTTGTGACAATGGAACTCTTCTGAGTCTTGTCATTGTGGCTCCACAAATCTACACATTATAAAATTACATGGAACTTTATATACACAAAACTGAATGTGTGTGTAACTAGTTAAAACCAAATAAATTCTTTGGATTGGACTAATCTCAATTTTCTAATTTTGTAATTGGCTATAGTCCGCAAGGTATTATCATGAAGGAAACTGAAGAAAAAAATGCATGGTCCCTTAAATCTAAACCTAAAGGCCTTTATTTTTGTGAATTAGTGGTCATAGATTACCATATTCAGATAAATTTCTACAATACCAGAAATGAAATGAACAGACTTCTTGTTATGTTAGCAGAAAAGCATTAGAATTTATGTCTTCTCACTTTTTGCATAAAGGCATATAAAAAGATGACTCTGATTGATTTATAAGCCTTGAACTATGTGTGTGAGTGATTATTAGTCCATCAGTACTCTACCAGTCATTCTCACAGTGAGGTTTCTGGACCACCAGTATTAGGAAGGGTGGGGGACCTGTGCTTTAGCAACAAACCCTCCAGATGCTTTCCATACACACTAAAGTTTGAGAACCACTGCTACCCACCACCATTGCTGTAAGGCATCCAGTAAACATTCACATTTCAGAAGAGAAAGCAAGCAAAAAAAAAAGCCAATTTTCAAGCGTTGGTGAAGCGTCCTCTCTGCTGCACTTTCCTCCATAACAGGTGAACTCCTGATGCTCCTTGAAGACCCCAGCCCATCGTGCCAGGTCGTAGAGCCTCAACTGGCTATTCTTGAGCTATTTCTAAAGGCTCCTTCAAGAATATTGAGTGTAAACAAAGTTTCTTTCACTGACATCCAATTCTGTTCAATTAACGTCAGAAAAATTGGTGTTTTGATGACTGGAGGTTCTTCCCACACACTTTGACCTGTCCTTATTTGACTCTAGAAGTTCTAAAGAAAAGGTGATGATTGGCAAGACTCATAAAATACTCTGTGGATTCAAATCAAATAAATAATCCCAAAGTCATTTCTATGTATCCTAGGGTCAAGCACATAATTCTTTATTTGTTTGTTTTAGCAGCAGTAGGGCTTTTCCTAATTGTACTCTTCTTAAGAAGCTATCACCAAGAGTTCACAGTGCCAGGAAGGTTATAGTTAGCCTGGAGCATTCTGAGTGCTGTTAACAAGAAAAGATGATCTTAAAGTTAGTTACAATTAACCCCCCAAATATATTTCTATATTTTCATTTAGCCAGTTTCCTACAAAGGGATTCACCTAGCTATTGGCTCCAATAGTCTTTAGTATTTGTGCCAGATGTGTGACTCTTCTCTGCAGATGCCACCTAAATTGATGTATCTTGCTTGGATAAATTGAATGTTGTTCACATTCTCTGACCAGATAATCATACTCCATTGTCCCAGATGCTTTGAAGTTAATGACTTAAAATCCAATATACTTAGAATGGTAAAATAGAAGCCTTGAAATTAGGACTTTCAGAAAATAAATGGAGTAAGCGCAGCTGTGAACCCAGACCCACACCTGTCATTGCTAATATTCAAACAAGACATAAAATTTTTGTCTCTGGAATCTTACGATCTAATGGGAAAGCTCGGAGGTGGATTTATCCTGAAGCTCAGGCTGCAAAATGTCAGGGCTCCTCGTTTGCATGGTTCTGACAAAGAGATCTTGTACCTAACTCGGAGCTCATGATTTGAAATTCTTTTCTTTAAATGAACCACTAAAATTGTGTAAGCTTCAGATTCCCACAACACTCAGGTTCACCCCTGTATTGCACAGACTGTGAGTGAGTAAACATATAAGCAAGATAATTTCAAGTGCCATGCAGAAGCTAGAAGCTGACTTGATAGAGAGTGACAAGACTATTTTAAACTGGGAGATCAGAAAACTCTCAGGAACTAAGACCTAGATGAAAATGCCTTAGAGGGATTTGGAAGAGGGATAACCAAAAGTTTTTTAACATTACTTCTCATTGAGTTGATTTTCATACTTACCATGTATTAGATAAAAACTTACTCTTGTAGTAGAATGATGTTAGATTTGAAGAGATTAATAACTTTGCAGAAGTTAAGCCCTGCTCATATTGAGTTTTTCACAGGTAGGTTCAGTAACACTCCTTTGTGACTTGCAGAATTTATTATCAATACATTAGTATTTGTCATATGTATTTTTATTCTACTATCTCATGATTCTCCTCCTAGAAATATTTGGATATTTAAAAACCAATATAGATAGATAGACTATAGATGATAGGTAGATAGGGAGACAGATAGATGATAGATAGGTAAGGGAAAAGAAAAAGAAGAGAGGAGAGAGAATATTTCAGCAAGCCTAGTAAACTAAATTATTTGGAATTAAACCATAATGTGTGTATTTGTATGTGTATGTATGTCAAGTCTTGGCTTTATCATTGATTTCATTATCTCTACATCATTCATCAAATAATGACTTTTCAATCAATGAACCACATATAGGACAAACTATATCTGATGGTGGTCCCACAAGTTTATAGTGGGGCTGAAATATTCCTAATGCCTAGTGACATTGTAGCCACCATAACATCATAGTACAACACGTTTCTCATGTGTTTGTAGTGATACCGGCATAAACAAACCTACTGTGATGCCATGTGTGTAACAGTATAACACGTACAATTACAGTAGTAGGCTATATCATCCGGGTTTGTGTAAACCTCTGATGTTTGCACAACAGTGAAACTGCCCAACGAGGCATTTCTCAGGTCATATCCCTGTTGTTATTCATATGACTGTATTGTCTAATACATGGAGAAATAAACAAAAAATGTATTAAAAGTAAAAGGTAGAATTAATGTTCGTGTAATCTGTAAATAGCTTTTATGTCTTATGTAAATGGGATAATTAGGAAGTAGGGACGGTTAGGTCCTAAACACCACTGTTCAGCTCATATAGCAATATAAAAATATTAATCGTGGTAATTTATATTTACTCACCTGGTAGCTCCTTTGTATCTTTTCATTTTAAAATTAGAGACACATAATGATGTCTTGGGTGATGAATATTAACTAGATTTATTATGGTGATCATTTTGGAATATATGCAAATACTGAATCATCGTGTTGTACACCTAAAACTAATATAAAGTTGCCATATTGGCAAAGTCATTAACACATTGACAATTAAAACCTGATCAATCTGGATAACCAAGATTATTTTCAATAGACAAAATTTCTTTTTAAATATATTTTATTGATTATGCTATTACAGTTGTTCCATTTTCCCCCTTCACTCCCCTCCACCCTGCACACACTCTATCACCCACATCCCCCCAAGAGATAACATTTCTTAGTGTCCAAATTTCACTGCTCTTGATTATACAACATAACATTCATAAACTTAAGTCAAAGATTCAATCTTTACACTCATTTAAACAAGTAGGTAATCTTATTTTTAACAATTTCTCAATATTCACTCTAAATATAGACATGCTCAATTATCTTTCAATAAGTTCATTTAAAAAAATCTAAACTAACATTGACAGCAAAGCTCAATCAAAAATGGCAGCTTAAATTCTCAAAACACTCTTAGTTAATGTCATAGGATTTAATCCCTAGTAATATGCTAGAGTTTATTATATTTTGTACCAGGTGGGGCAAAAGTCAGTTTATGGTTGTTAATATGGAAAGTAATACAATAATTAATAAATAATACAAGAATAAACTCTTGTGTTTCACATACTCACAACTGTAAACCTACTTTTGCCTCACCCGGTACAAAATATAATAAATAGTGTTCATTTAGTTCACAAATTTTTTATTATGAAATTTCATGATCTTTAAGACTTTGAAAACGACTTAACAGTTGCCATAAATTGCAGACAAATATCAGAAAGTCTATCACAACACATTAATTTCGAGTTTTCTTTTTCTCGGAGTATTTTAAGACTGGAGGCAGCAGCTTCGGCACAGATTCAACATCTCAGGAAGGTCAAGGTTGCCTTCTCCAGAATTGAAGGCACTTCCGCGCTGGGGGAAAGAAGGACAAATCACTCCAGGTACCATATCCATGCTCAAGATAGAGAGTACCAAGTTTTCTCTTTATGAAAAGTTGTCAAATGAACCAGACAATCATGGTTCGATTCCCAGTCAGGGCACATGCCTGCGTTGCAAACCAGTTCCCTGCAGGCCAGTTCCCAGCAGGGGACACAGGAAAGGCAACCATACATTGATGTTTCTCTCCCTCTCTCCTTCCCTTCCCCTCTAAAAATAAATAAAAAAATATTTAAAAAAAAAAAAAGAAAAGTTGTCAAATGACCATCACAACATGATCAAAAGCACAGACAGAGCGGGGATATTGAAGTTTCTGCATTTGCCTCTTTGTCCAGCGTGTTCTCCTAGAACCAGATGGAATAACTGCTAGTGAAGCAAAAAGGTTTGGTTTTCTTTTGTTTTGTTTTGAGAGCTAGGTCTTATTTATACTGCATAGGTTTCCCACAGTTACTACGATGAAATGTAAACTTGCAGGAACTGGGTAGCAACACAATTCTCGGAGACCACAAGGTTCCCACCTATTCCTGCGCTTCAGGCCTCGGTGCTTGCTCCTCCCCTAAGACGCGGGCGCGGTTGGTTCCCCTGATGGGATTAGGGATTAGGAGTCTGGTGACTAAAGAGATTATCCAAGTGGGTGTGTTCCCATCCCCTGAGCCCTATATAAGAGACTGGGCCTCCCTCAAATCCCGCAGATCACAGATTCTAGAGAGCTCTCCGGTCGCAGGTTGTCTGTTGGGATGTTGAAGACTGAAGGACTCGGACCAGACCGAGATTTGTGACCTACAGCCAGCAACTGGTAAATCGGTGGGGATGTCTGTGGGCACGGGCTAGAAACTGATAGAAAACACAGCAAACCTGACCCTAGCACTTTTCGGCATTCCCGGTGCAGGTCGCTGCTCAGACATCCCAGCACCAGGCCCGGTGTCCTCCAGCGCCGGGATGAATAAGGCGGGCTCGTCACCCAGCACCAAAGCTGAGGCCCCGGGTGTGTGCCGTCCGCGCGCCGTCGCTCGCCAGGGCCCCGGGCCCAGCGACGCCCGCAGAATCCCCGCGGACCGACTGGAACTGCAGAAAACCTCCGACCGCCAAGGCGGGGTCCGGAGTCCGGACGACTCGGACCCGCGGGCAGGTGCGAGGAAAGGGTCCCAGTCGTCTCCTCCCGCCGCCAAGAGACTGAAAAGAGACGCCACGGAGAAAGAGAGGAAACGCGAGGTGGACGAAGAGGACGTTCAGAAGATGAAAGTCCTGATGTTGTCTATGTCGGAGGAGCAGCTGCACCGCTACGAAGTGTATCGCCGCTCGGCCTTTCCCAGGGCGACGGTGAAACATCTGATTCAGAGAGCCTCCGGCACCTCGGCGTCGGTGCCGTCGAATGTGGTCATTGCGGTGGCCGGACTGGCCAAGGTCTTCGTCGGCGAGCTGGTGGAAGAGGCCCTGGATGTGTGCGAGAGGTGGGGGGAGACACCCCCGCTGCAACCCAAGCATCTCAGGGAGGCTGTTCGCAGGTTGCGCTCCAGCGGAAAAATCCCCAACGCCAAGCCCAGGAACATCCTGTTCTAGGCCAACGCCCCGGAGCGCCTGTTGCTGATGCAGCAAGACAGTTGTGCGTAGGAGATTCCAGGCAATGCCGCTTCTCTATCTCAGGCCATCAAGAATTCACCCAGGACATTATTATATTGAGGAATGCTCCCTCTATTCCCACTTTGCTGAGTGTTTTTTATCATAAATGGGTGTTGTACCTTATCAAAAGCTTTTTCCGCGTCTATTGATATGATCATGTGGTTTTTGTCTTTGCTTTTGTTTATGTGATGAATTACATTTACTATTTTGCGAATGTTGAACCATCCTTGCATCCCTGGGATGAATCCCACTTGGTCATGGTGTATAATGTTTTGGTGTATAATGTTGGGTGCGATTTGCCAATATTTTGCTGAGGATTTTAGCGTCTATGTTCATCAGCGATATTGGTCTGAAGTTTTCTTTCTTTGTTGTATCTCTATCTGGTTTTGGAATTAGGATGACACTCTAGGAAGACATTGAACCCAATTAAAAAATGGGAAAAGGACTTGAACAGACACTTCTCTAAAGAGGACGTACAGAATATCCAGAGACACATGAAGAGATGCTCAGTATCATTAGCTATCAGAGAGATGCAAATTAAAACCACAATGAGATACCACTTTACACCAGTCAGGATGGCTATAATAAACAAAGCAACAAACAACAAATGTTGGAGAGGTTGTGGGGAAAAGGGGACCTTAGTTCACTGTTGGTGGGATTGCAGACTGGTACAACCATTATGGAAAACAGTATGGAATTTTCTCAGAAAAATAAAAATCGACCTGCCTTTTGACCCAGCAATTCCACTGCTAGGATTATACCCCAAGAATCCTAAAACATCAATTTCAAAGAACCTATGCACCACAATGTTCATAGCAGCACAATTTACAATAGCCAAGAGCTGGAAGCAACCTAGGTGCCCATCAGTAAATGAATGGATCAAAAAATTGTGGTAAATATACACAATGGAATTCTATGCAGCAGAGAGAAAGAAGGAGCTACTACCCTTTGCAACAACATGGATGGAACTGGAAAGCATTATGCTGAGTGAAATAGGTCAGGCATTGAAAGACAAATACCATATGATCTCACCTTTTACAGGAAGCTAAAGAATAAAACAAACAAGCAAACAGAATAAAAACAAAGACACTGAAATAGAGAACAAGTGGGCAGCGACCAGAGGGGAGAGGGAAGGGAATTTAAGGGGAAAAAGGGGGAGGGATTTTGAGAACAAGTATGAAAGACACAGAGATGAGGACTGGGGGAGGGGAAATTGGAGGGAGGGGGGAGACAGGGTGGGGGGGTGGGATGGGAGAAATAGATAAAAAAATGTACTTGAAAAGTAACTAAATAAAATTTATTATTTAAAAAAAAAAAAAGAATTCACCCAGGACAGATGTTTAGCTCAGAACTCCAATATTGGTGGCAACGATATGAAGGCATTCAGCCTTGGCTAACCAGGAAAGCACCTTTTAGGGTGCCTGGAGGCGTTTAACTCGGGTTAGCTGGATGAACAACAGTGCAAGCAAGAAACCTGGCATCCTCTGGAAGGGAACTGCTTGGAAAGAGGAAAAAAGCAGCCTTGCAAGGCTGCTGCGGAGTTTCCTTTCGGAGCTGGGAGTGGCTATGACTTTGAAGGCTTCTTCCCTGTGACGTAACAACCAGGTTTCCTGTGCGAATCTCTACCCTGAACCGCAAGGGGGTAGCAGAAATGAAAACGTTTCTCCTTGTAAATAGTTAAGTTTATCCTGTGTTTTTATTTGAGTGACCAACCAGTAAACCGTTTCAAATTACAAAAATAAAAATAAAATCACAAAACCTTTTTGTCTCAAAAACCGTTGTTTTCCTTTTTCTTCCCAGTGTTTTGGGTCAGAGGGTGATCTCTGACCCACTTAGACAGCTAACATAGCCTGGGCCTCCTAAGACACTACAGGCAAAACCAAATCCCTCAAAACACTTGGATAACAGCTATTATATTTTTGTTATAAGTGCAGTTTTTAATATTTGGCCTACTGCGTGATAGGCCAATGTTTCCATAGGCAACAGAATTTATTTCAAAACAGTCTGAAAACACACTTGTTTTGCCAATTTATCCAGAATCACTAGAACCTCAAGACCTGAATCAATTACTGAATAATGGAAGTTGTCAATAGGAACTAAACAGGCTTATCAAGAGTTGCAACGTACGCTAATTTTTACTTGTGCATGTATTACAAAGTCTGAGATTTGTTTTCAAACGGTCATCACTGTTCACAGCATAACTCTGATGCCCGCAGAGCTGTGTGAGTCATGTGTCCTCTGAAACACCCAGTACAGGTAAAAGAATACAATAAGCCCCACTGTGCAGCTCTAATGCTAAAAAGACAGTATCTCCTGTTTTTCTCACCCTGAAGCCAAAAATAACCCCACACAAAATATTTTACTTCTCTTCACATTTCCTTTTTGCCTTTATATGGGGACCCATCATAGATAGAATCTATAATTATTCTGGTGTTTTGTTTACAGTAAATTTTGAGACTATAGCAAGAATAAGTGAGTTCTATTTAATACCATGATATTCTGTTACGCTCTCATTTACCAGCTCGCTTCCTGTATCAGTGGTTATAATGAGCTAGACCAGGAAACAAAAGGAGACATGGAGGTCACAGCTTCTTGGAAAGCCCATGGAGCTGAGAGGACTGTCTCAGGAAATAAAGTGATTGCGCATGAAAGAAGTAAGATGCAAGGGATTCCGCTTCTCTCCACCTTTGTATTGTTCGCAGCTCAGTCTCTCCCCTGGGTCAGTGAAGAAGGTTTGGGTGAATACATCATGCCTGTGGCTTCTGAACCATGGAGTGAGAGAACCTAGCCCAAGGCGGTAGGAGGGGGGAACAGCATTTGGCCTAAAGCAGTGACAGTGTCCGTTGGACACACAGCTGAAAGCTCTGATGGCCACCACCTGTAGGACTTAATGCTCTTACTGGGGTCTGAGTGTGACCTAACCACTGATGGCCAAAGCAAGTTCCCATTAAGGTCTCAGAGGTCAGATCAAACACAGGGCTTCAGAATTGTTCTCTCAGCTGGGAACAATGGAATGGCTGAAAAGACTCAGTATCTTTATGCATTCCAAGACTTTTTACTGTATAATATCAAATATCCAAGGTTCTCAAAAAGGAAATTATATATAATCTGGTACCATTCCAAGAGAAATCTCTGAAAGCTCTTGTGAATGATTTATTGTGTGCCATTAACAATATAGGTTTCTCCTCAGCTTCACTACCATTCCGAACTGCATCAAACAATATACAAATGGAGATCTCCTAGAAAAACGTGGTCTCCAGTTGGTGCTTTTTTGGTAAAATGATGTATAACAAAGAAAATAAACTTGACTGTATTTTTTCATACTTTAGTATCGCTCTGGGATAAGATCAATACTTTACCACCACCTCCTAAAAAAGGGAATCAGTATATGTCCAAACAAAATTTATCTAATCTAGTTACACTATACCAAAGGCATATTATCTAAGGAATAGGCTTCAAACGCACAAAGATCTGTGGCAACTAAACATAAAATGTACACAAAGTAAACAAGTGTAAACAATCAATGGGTAGGTTTATGTTTTCTATGAAGGAGGGCAAAATTAGGGGCCTAAGCGGATAATCACATATAATGAAGCAGGGGAAAGGCTTTCATAAAGTGAACTAAATACCGATCATATGTCAGTGTCATAAGTTACCCGAATACTGGAGGAGCCTTATAAAATTCCACCTTACTGTCAATTTATAAACAAAAGAGACGTAGTAGACTAGGTAACCCTCAAAAATGATAGATTTGTGGGGAAATAGGTAAGATAAACAATGGATAACTTACCTTTCATTTAACTCAAGAGTCATCACTCTGCCTTGGAGGCAAAAGGAAGTAGGAAAGTTCCTTGCTGTTCCAGATTTCTTACCCCACTCTTCTCCCACAGGCATTTCTTTGACTTACGCTGTATATCTTTACTAGCTGTATTTTCTGTCGCTCCCTTGAAGCAAGAACCAGATATTGCCTTTCAAAAGCTGTTCTCCATCTACTGTCTGGAAAACAGTAAAAAAGGGTAAGTAAGCATCAAGATCAGCCATTATAATTAAAAAATGACGCATGTATTTCCTAAGGGCAAAGACTATAGACTCCAAACACACAAAGCAAATACATGCTCAAAACTAAGCACAACAATTGAACCTTCACTATCGTCATGAGAAATTATGAGCCGGACACCAAGGAAAACAGCCACAGCAGTTTTTGCTGTAGTTCTGTATGTATCTATGATTTCCGTTGCAATTTAACACCGGCAGATGAAGCAACAAAGAAATAAATAAAAATATGAGACATGAGTTGAATGATAGTGATGAGAGAAATAGAATCTAGATTTCTTTCCTCACTCGGAAAATCCTTTTTATTTGGATTTAGTGAACATTCTATACCTCCAACTTTAACTTATCCTTAAATGCACCAAACCCATTGGCCATGTAATCTTTTCCTTTATTTGTACTGGTCCCTTTGCTGGAACACCTTCTTGCTTTTCTTCTAGAGCAGGGGTGTCAAATTCATTTTCACTGGGGGCCACATCAGCTTCACAGTTGCCTTCAAAAGGCCGAATGTAATTTCAAATCCTTAACAGTTGAAGAGTAGTTACATTTATACAACCCTAAAATTATTTCGGCCCTTCGAAGGCAACCGTGAGGCTGATGTGGCCCCCAGTGAAAATGAGTTGGACACCCCTGCTCTATGATTCATTCGTGGAGGCCCGGCCAACACCTGTCTTTCCTAGAAGGGCTTCCTGACTCCAATACCATTTCATTCTTCCTATAGCATGCCATCTCTAGCCGTGAGGTGGCACTGGATTATATTCTGCCTTGTTCTTTCCATAATTGGTTTTATGTCCCACATTATCCTGAAACCCCTCCTCAAGCTTGGAGCCAAGGCATTTTCTAGCACAACAGCAAACAGCGAGCATTGTAAAGTGCCATGGTTTTTTGAC